TCACCACTCTGCTGAGGACAGCCTTGATGCTGGCCTGCGAGAACGGCAGCGTGGAGACGGTGGAGGTGCTTGTCAACGCCGGTGCCCGGGTGGCCGTGGTGGACTCCACAGGTCACGATGCCGTGCACTACAGCCTGGCCACGGGCAACGCTCTCATCCAGCACTTCCTGCAAGAGGCTGCTCAGCGCCGGTCCTGGGCCAGCGGTAAGGCGGCCGTGCCGCCCCTTGTCCGCAGGGCATGGACCCACGGGGGTGTTGTCACCCTGCAGGGTGCTTTGGGGCGGGGATGTCTAACCCATGGCTGGAAGAGGCTGGGGGGCACATGCCCCCTTTTCCCACGCGCTGGGGGTGCCTTCGCCCATGCTGTCACCAGCCGAGGGCTGGGAGGTGGTGCTGGTTGCCCGTCTCAGTGTCTGAACAGGCTTGCACACACATGTTCACACGTGTTTGCAAGCGTGGGGGTATAAGTGCACGTGTGTATCAGCAAGTGTGTTTGTACGTGTGTCTGCGTGTGCGTGACTGCGTGCATATGTCTCCCCGTGTCTGCGCACGTGGGTGCATCCCTGCAATTACACATCCACGTATATCCCCGTATTTATCTGTCTGCGTGTGTGCCCCTTGTACGCACACATGCCCCCCTGCGTACACGTGTGTGTGTACCCCCTGAGTGCCCACCCCTGTATGAGCACATTCAGGGATGCCCCTGCACCCCGGTGGGCTCTGCCTGCTGTGCCCACCCCTACGATCCCCTAAACCTCCCCAATTTCTCTTTCCTCCCGCTCTGCCCCGCAGAAGAGGAGTCAACTGAGCAGACGTCCCAGGTAAGGGCCTGCCTGGCTGCCCACCTCTTATCAGGGCTGGCCCCAGCCCCTGGGTGGGGGTCCCCAGGAGCCCCAGGGCTCTCTAAGGTGACGACGGGTCAGGAAGGAGGGAGGCCACTTTAGATGTGATGTCCCCTCTGCCCTGGTGTCTCCACAGACGTCTTCGCCCAGCCAGTCATCCATCAGGGAGAAGAGCAGCACCCCGAGGAAGAGGAAAGCCCCTCTGCCTCCCCTGGGCACCCCCAGCCAGGTGAGAGAGGGGTCCCCCTCAGCTCCACGTCTGCACCCGGCTTGGCAGGCACAGGGTAGCCGAACCATGGCCTGCTCAGGCAAACTTCTCCAGCTTTGCCCGTGCCGGGGGCTGTGCGGGGGCCCTCCTCCCTGCAGCGTGGGTGATGCTCAGGAGCTGGCCTGAGCTGCAACAGAGGCTTTGTCCCCACTCCCGGGGTGCATGCAGCACCCCAGGCCCTGAGCCCCTGCTGTTGGCAGGGCGGGAGCTATCAGCCCCTTTCTCTCCACCCCGCAGGCCCAAAACACCCCTCTCCCGGGGGGTTGTGCTGGCGTCGGGGGGTCCGTGCCCTGCCGGAGTCTTTCCTTCTCTCTCTGCTGTCAGAAAGCACCCTGCGTACCCCGGACCGTGGCTCGCCCATGGGGGCACGTGGTGCCCGGAGCCTGGCTGGGCTCAGCCTGCCACAGCCCCCCTGCTGAGGATGGGCAGGAGGGGGCCGCCAGCGGGGCG